GCGGGCTCAGGCAATCCACTCACCTCAGCCTCCCAAAGCGCGGGATTACAGGCTGAGCTACTGAGCCTGGCTTTTTTTTGAGTTGGAATCTCACTCCGTTGCTCAGGCTGGAGTGCAGTGGCAGGCTCACAGTCACCTCAGTGTTGACCTGTTGGGCTCCAGCGATCCTTCCACCTCAGTCCTCCACGTAGCCAGAACTACAGGTGTGAGCTACCACATCAGACTAATTTTTTGATTTGTTGTAGGGATGAGGTCTCACCAAGTTGCCCAGGCTGTTCTCGAACCTGTGTTCTCAGGAAATCCCCTCGCTCTGGCTTCCCAAAGTGCTGGGATTATGGGCTTGAGCCACCGTGCCCAGCCCACTCTGGTCTTAAGAGCTCAATTTAGCTAGGCGTGGTGGCTCACACCTGTAATATCAGCACTTTGGGAGGTTGGGAGGTCAAGATGGGAGAATTGCTTGAGCCCAGGAGTTTGAGACCAACCTGGGCAACATAGTGAGACCCTGTCTCTATAAAAAATCAAAAATTTAGCTGGGTGTTGGCATATGCTTGTAGTCCTAGCTACTCAGGAAGCTGAAGGTGGAAGGAACACCTGAACTCAGGAGGTTGAGACTGCAATAAGCAGTGATCGTGCCACTGCACTCCAGTCTGGGCAATGGAGTGAGACCTCCAACTCAAAAAAAAAAAAACCTCTCAATTCGACTTGCCTAGTGAGAGCTATTCAGGGCTAGACCATGGGTCTGGGAGAGATTGGTGCCTGGCTTTGATATCACAGTCACAAGTGTTATAGCCTAAATGGGTATAGCCTTGATTCTCATTTTTTTCCTGTTAATTGTTGAACCACATCTCATGTTTTTTTCTTTTTTTTGTTTTGAGTTGTAGTCTCACTCTGTTGCCCAGACTGGAGTGCATTGGCATGCTCCTGGCCACTGCAGCCTCATTCTGCTGGGCTCTGGTGATCCTTCTGCCTCAGTCTTCCAAGTAGCCGGAACTACTGGTGTGCGCTACCATGCCCGGCTAATTTTTGACTGATTGTAGAGACGAGGTCTCACCAACTTGCCCACGTGGGTCTCGCTTTCGCGGGCTCAGGCAAACCACTCACCTCAGCCTCCCAAAGTGCTGAGATTACAGGCTGAGCCACCAAGCCCGGCCTCATGTTTTCCAAATGTCAAACCACCCTTGCTTGACCCCACCTGGTTGTGGTGACACCTGCATTTCCTGAGTGCTTACGACACTGATCTCATCATGTATTGTCACAAACCTAATGAAGTAGGTATGACATTCAGGCCCAGTTTGAAGATGAGGAAAGTGAACCCTAGAGGGTTCAACGCCCAAGGCCACTGGTGTAAAAAATATCACAACTAGCACTGGGACTCAGGCAGGAAGTCCAGGTAGACTGTTTCTTATCCTAGACACCAGAAACCACCAACCCCTGGTAACCAGCCATCAATGCTGACAATAGTGCTTCGTCTCTCTCCTGTGACTAAATGTCCCTGGCATTAAATCCCAAATCTATTGCCACTCCTGTCTCTCTTGTGACCTCCAGGACTGCTAAATCTACCCTGAAGTCTGCAGTGGCTTCTAGCTACCATGAGAGGCGGATCTTCCTGGACCTCCTCTCCAGCCTTGTCCCTTGGTGCTCTCGTGCCATCAGGATATGTTCCAGCCACTTGGGCTTCCTGTCACATCCTTCGATGAGTGTACAAACTGTTCCCGAAATCTAGAATGCACTCACTTCACTGGTTTCGCTGACACCGTTCCTCAATCCTATAGTAATGTTGCTAATAAATAACAAGCACTTTGTGCCAGATTCTCTTCTAGCACTTACATAAATACAAAACCATATTTAATCATCACAACAGCCCTATGGAGTTGACACTATTATCATCCCGTGTCACAGATGAGGAAATGAAGGCAGAGATGAAGTGACCTGCCCAAGATCACATAGCCAATAAGCAACAGAGCTGGAGTCACACCTAGGCTACCTGGCTGCAGAATTCCTCCTTTAAACTACTGCACTAATACCAACTGCGTCCGGGCATGGCAGCTCACACCTGTAATCCCAGCACTTGGGAGGCCGAGGCAGGATGATTGCTTGAGCCTAGGAGTTCGAGACCCGACTGGGCAACATGGTGAGACCTCGTCTCTACAAGAAAACAAACAAAAAATGTAATTAAATTTAAAAATAACACCAACTGCCAGATTACTTTGGGTGAGCCCTTCTAGTGTGGATTCCTAACAAGTACCTTTTCTCACCCCACCTCCCCCTTCATTTGATCTGTCAGCACAACCTGTCAGTTCCAGCTTCTACCTTCGGAATATACCAGAACCTGACCTCTCGTCTCCACATCCACTGCCGCCGCCACCACCATCACTGGCCTGGACTTCTGAGGCGGCCTCCTCACTACTGCCATCCTCACCTCCTCCCCTCAGTCTGTCCTCACAGCAGCCAGAGAGATCCTGTTACAACCCAAGTCAGCTCATGGCCCTCTTCTGCTTGGAGCCCTGTCATGGCTCTCATCTCTCAGAAAGCCCAAGTCCTCTCCGTAGCCCACGAGGCCCTACGGGACCTCTCTGACCGCAACTCCTACCACTGACCTCACTGACCATCTTGCTGTTCCTTACACACCGAGCAAGCTCCCACTTCAGGGCTCTGCACTTAATTTGCCTTTCCTTCTGCCTGTAATTCTCCTCCTCCAGATATCAAGGCAAAGGAAGGCTGACAGATTTGGCTCGTAAAGAAATGAGCCTGAGTTACATTGAGATGTTACTCACATAGACAGCGAGAGCAAGGATAGCCACAGAATCCAGCTCATGTCCCTTGCGCCGAGCAACACCAAAACAAAAGGGACGAGATGACCGCGCCACGGAGGGCAGGACACCCTGTCGCCGAGGAGCTAATTTCATGCTGAAGTGAAGCCGTTGGAAGCTCTGAATTGGGAGGGGTAAAGCTTCAGACCTCACTAGAACCACAAGAGGCAAGGAGAAACTGTCTCCTAACAGCCTCCTTGGTAGACAGGGAGGTGAGTGGGAAATGGCCTTGTGGCAGCTCCTCACAACCTCCCGTACTCTGTGTTCCGAGGATAACAGGACGTTCTGCCAAGACTTAGATCAGCTTACCTACGTGGCCTATGTGGAGACGTGCAAGGTAGCTAGAGCACCATGGTGGTGCTATTACCACACTAGATATGCCACATCCCATCACTCCACTCCTACCCTGCTTTATTTTCCTTTTTAATGCTTCCCACTCCCTAATGTTGCATTTTGCAATTTTTTAGTTTTATTGTATGTAGATTTCACCAGTATATGATTCCGGAGGGAAAGAAATGTCTTATCTATTGCTGGGCCCCCAGACTTTTATGTCTATGACAGATGAAGTAAGTGTGGTGTATGTACACAGTGGAATATTATTCAGCCTTAAAAAAGGAAATTCTGGTCAGACATGTTGGCTCAAGCCTGTAATCCCAGCACTTTGGGAGGCCGAGGCGAATGGATTGCCTGAGCCCAGGGTTTTGAGACCAGCCTGGGAAACTTGGTGAGACCTCATCTCTACAATAAATCACAAAAATTAGCCTGGCATGGTGGTGCATGCCTGTAGTTCCAGCTACTTGGAAGGCTGAGGTGGAAGGATCACCTGAGCTCAGCAGGTTGAGGCTGCAAGGGCTGTGAGCATGCCACTGCACTCCAGCCTAGCTGACAGAGTGAGACTCCAACACAAAAAAAAGAAAAAAAAGGAAATTCTGCCATCTGCAACATGGATGAACCTGGAGAACATTATGCTAAGTGAAAACAAGCCAGATACAGAAAGACAAATACTAGTGATATCACTCGTACAGAGTCTAAAAAAGTCAAACTCAAAAATGGAGTACAGGCCGGGCTCGGTGGCTCAGGCTGTAATCCCAGTGCTTTGGGAAGCCGAGGTGAGTGGATTGCCTGAGCCCACAGGGTTCGAGACCCGCCTGGGGAACTTGGCGAGACCTCATCTCTATAATAAATCAAAAATTAGCTGGGTGTGGTAGCGCATGCCTGTAGTTCCAGCTACTTGGAAGGCTGAGGCGGAAGGATCGCTGGAGCCCAGCAGGTCGAGG